AGAATCAAGGAAGCGCTACATGAATTACCCACGCTGGCCAGCCCTGTCCCTGAAGAGACGTTACGAGTGTACCTCTCGACATCAGGCGAAGCGATATCTTCAATATTGACTGTAGAAAGGGAAGGGGAACAGAGACCGATATACTTTGTTAGTAGAGCGCTGCAAGGACCGTAACTCAACTATCCCACGCTGGAGAGACTAGTCCTGGCGCTCATTTATGCAGCGCGACGACTAAGGTGGTACTTTCAAGCACACCGGATCGAGGTGATCACGAGTTACCCCATCAAACAGATACTGCTCAAGCCGGAGACGTGGGGCCGGCTAGAAAAGTAGGCGATCAAACTGGGAGAGCACGACATAAATCACCGCCCAAGGACATGTATCAAGGGACAAGTGCTAGCCGATTTCTTACTAGAAATTCCGGACAGAGGGGACCCGACCAAATAGAAAGTGTGGGTAGTTGAAAGGGCCCCGACTGATAACAGTTCATGGACTTTGTATACGGATGGGACATCTAGCAGGGAAGGCTCATGGGCGGAGCTGATCCTGACCAGCCCGGAAGGAGAAGAGGTAACCTACGCCCTCCGTTTCGATTTCCACACGTCAAATAATGAGGCGGAGTACGAAGCACTGCTCGCAGGATTGCGCCTAGCCAAGCAGATGGGTACGAAGCACTGCTCGCAGGATTGCGCCTATAATAATTAATAATATGATTCCAAATTAATATATTATTCATATAATATATTAATAAATCATATTTATACCCTATTTTATTATTCTTAACAATAAACCAGCCTCTCTCCTCAACAATCATCCTGTCTAGTCACCAGTGTGAAGGCAACCCAAAAGGACCATGCACAATCGGGTCAAGTACATACCAAAATAGTTATGGACTTAGACATTAATCCAAATATATATATATATATATATATATATATATATATATATATATATATATATATATATATATGGTAGCCATCAGGGTTGATTTTGGGTATGGGTATGGGTACCGGACAAGTAGAACCATCCCAATCTCCATCCCCATCACTACTTTTTGAATTCGAGTAATACCCATCCCCGAATCGTCTCTGATTAACTCGGTCATTTAACTGGTCAACTCGGTTTAGGGTTTCGGGTACCTATCGGATACATGCTTTTTTGATATCTCTACTTTCCAGTCGACGTCCACTATTGCAAACTTTACGTGCATGCATGGCTTTAAAGGCTTCAAATGCCAAATCTAAGCTCTTAATGGGGTTCTAAGCTCAAGAGGGACCTCAATCACGACCATAGCTGAAAATTTACACTACTAGAATGCAATGAGGGTCCAGATCTGAAGTATGACCTAATCATAAGTCTTAATCATAAAGGATTTGGGGTTTTGGGGCTTAAAAGCAACAATTTGGGGACAAAAAAGATCTACTAGATCAATAAACAAGATGGAGGCTTTATTACCAGAAAAAATGACCACAACTGAGTGTGTTCTGGATTTACTTCCTCTTCCTTGAACTATTCAATCTTCTCCTTCTTCTACTTGCTCCAAAAGTTCCTTCACAAAGCAACAATCACTCACACACTCAAAAAGGGGGCTAAGGTTCGTTAAGAGATGATATGAGAGTTATGGAGGCGAGGTTGGGTTGTATGAGTGTGTTTAAATAGGGTGCAAACCCTTAAATTTGGGCTTCATCCAGACAGGCGGACTCGCCGAGTTGCCAGCTTAACTCGCATGATCAACCCATCTCTACTCGATGAGTCGGGCTACAGACTCGTCGAGCCCCTCATGAAATGAAAACTTTAATTAAATCACATACCCAAAACGGAGCGTTACAAATCCGCTGATAATGAAATGACCGCTCAGGTCGATGAACTAGATAACCTTGCGCCAACTAACAATAAATACGATCTTAGTCAATAATTATCCCGATAACCCAAAATCTTAGGCCTACTCCATAAACAAACATCCTAAAGGATAAAAGACAATTCTACCATTTTCTTAATTGGTCCAAAATCAAGGCCCAACCCAATTGCAAAAAAAACCTAAAATGACAATACAAAGCCCAATATAGCCCAACTTCCTAATTGGGCCTAAAAACTCTAATAGGACCAATACCAAAAAAAGCCCACAACCTAACCATGGCCCAAAATCAAAAGCCCAATGGCTTAATAAGGCCCAAACTCAAAAGGGCCCAAAAGTGATGAATTGGGGAGTACGTCCTGCGTACTCGAGACGTAAGCCCTATGTACTCAAATCTGAAGCACGACAATAATCCTCATTGGTGGTCAGCTAAAATGCCCTTCTATAACATCCCAAAAATTCAATAAATTTTTAACTTTTCAAAACATCCCCTTTTCTAATAGAAGTTTTACAAAACCATTGCTTTCAAAAAATTATTTTATAATTAGAGTCTCCCAAGATCAAATCAATTTAAAATCAAGGATGTATATGGTTGTTATACGTGAGAATGAAGATGGTGCAACCATTGTCGGCTCTATCTTTCACCACAGGTATAAATCTTGAAAAGATTGTAGCTGTTGGATAAGGTATCTAAGTCCATAATTATATTTGGTATGTATTTGACCTGATTTAGCATGGTCCATTTGGGTTGCATGACATCAGAACAATTGGATAGACAAATGAGAAAAGAATTCTTATCATTTGTTAATATATTATAAGTTCTAATATATTAATATGAAATCATATTATTTAATTAGTATTGATCAAGAATTAATTTTGTGATCAAAAGAGACTAATTAAATATATGGGGATTGATTGTGTAAATCATTCATTCTTATATAGTGGGCTTATGATCCATGATTCATTATGATGGGCTAAAACCCATAAGGTGATCCATGGATGGTCCATAGAGGTTAAAACCCATGGATCATGGAGGAAATGAAAAGTCATGCACATTAGGGTTTACATGGTGTAACCCTACATGTGGCACACTATAAAAGGATCCCATAGGCTAGCAAAATCGACACTAAGACTAGAACAAAGAGGGCTACCCGATTTTGTGGTGAAGTGTTCTTCTCTCAAGTTATTCCAAGAGTTTTGGTGTTGTGTGAAACATTTAAGGCATCACATTTGGAATACCAGACTCACAAGGCCTTAAGGAATCAAAGCTACAAGAAAGGTATGTCATTCTACTAGTTTTTTTGTATTACATATACCCCATGATGTGCTAGTTAGGAAGAGAACCTTGGAAAAATTAAATTTGCATGTATATTAGAGAAAACATAGATCCAAGGTTTCTAGGGTTACATGTACACCATAGGAGTGTTAGAATGCTCAAAACCCATCAGTAGCCAATGTTGTAAGCAAGATTATTAATCTAGTTTTCCCTTTTACATCTTCCTTTTGTCTCTGAACCTCTTAATGTGCCTATTTAAAAAGTCCTAAAGCTTTTCTTGGATGTGAGTTGAGATTTTTTTTCAAGTTTTGTGATTTTATGTTGTTGAATGTAATTGTAGTTATGCATGATTTGAGACTGATACACACCGATCAGAAGTCTGAAAGCATACTTCTTGGGTATCCAAAGTATGTGAAAGTGCATGATCACATATAAGTGTGTAAGTTGAGAGATTGTTTCAATACCAAAATATAATCACTGGGGTTACTTTGAGTTTACACCTTGTTCATCAAGGTAATCACAATAGAAGAACAGATGAATAAAAAGGAACAGGTAGTAATAACAACAAAGTAATCTGATGTTACTTTCTGTACTGATGCAAAGGTGAACCCATAAGTCAAGAACATGGGACGAAAATGGAGAAGAAAGGTAATATGTAATAAAAACTATAGGCTACTGATTATACCTTATTCACTTAGGAATAACTGAGATAATTAAAATCAATCCACACAGATAAACACAGGAAGGAACAGGGAAATAAAAGACAAAAATATATTGGAAGAATACTTTTATTTTCAAAGGTAAAATGACTTAAAAACTTTAATCTACTTGAACCTATTTATAATAAACATAAAGGAAACCTAGTGTAATAAGGCTACTTGAAAACAAAGCCTAATCTAACACAAAAATTTTAAATAGGAAAGTTTTCCCAAAATACACCTGGACTTAAACTGTCCCATATTTCTAGATTAACACAACAAAGTAGAGGCTATGATGTAGCTTGCTCTTGCTCATACAACTTTGTTGGAATGTGAGTGTTATTTATGAATCTTTATGTAAGTTTAAAAAAAAAAGTTAGTTTATATTTATACTTTATGAATGATAATTTTTTTATGCTATTGTTGTTTCTATAGTGTACAGAAAGAACTCATCGCCCTATGTTTGTGAAACTATGTCCAAGTGAATGCTGTTTTCGTAGTGTACCAAAGAACCTTATCACCTTTTTTTGATAAAGTTGACCAGCCTTATGAACAACAAAGACATAAAGATCTACATACTAAATTTAAGGTGATCGTGTCTTGATTGATAAAGTTGCTATTATTCATTCTATAAAGTTTTTTTTTTTCAAGTTGAAAATATGTTGCTATTAATAGAATGATATGATTTGATGCTTAATTAGGTGTAAACTTGATATTGTTGCGTTGTAGGTTATTGCTGATTATAATCGTGATGAGATGAAGGAAGAGCTTAAGGAAAAATGTGAAGAATTTGAGACAAACAACAAGAAATAGCCAAGATTTTATACTTTGATAGTTGACTTTTGTAATTTGGTTTCAATACTTTGAAAGTGAACATGCATTTTTATTTTGTTGATTTAATATTAATATTTATTATTGTAGTAAAATGTTAAAGTTTTGATTTTGGGGTATAAAACTTAAATTACATTTGTTGAGTTCTTGTTATGGAATAGCGACAGATTTAAAACCTACTAGATCGTTGCTAAAACAAAAAAAAGTTTGTTGGTTTACTAATCTTAGCGACGAATTACGTTAGGCTTTAGAGCATCCCCTAGAAATTTGTTTCATCGGTAATCCATCACTAATCTGTCACTAAATCCCTCGCAGAATCCGTCGCTTTCAATTAGCGACAATGGTTTTTTCGACAGACAATTCGGTCGCTAATCCACTACTAACGGCTATCATCGACGGATTAGCGACGGAATTGTCTGTCGCTGATACTTCAGTTTCTAGTAGTGGGCATCCATCTTCATCTGTAAATTATAATCGTTTTCAAAAATCAAACATATTAACGAATTTGATGAAATCGGACAACTTATTTTTAAAAAGATAGCGAAAGAATAAAATTTTCACCAAATTGGCTCTTAGTCTTCTCTTGAAAATAATTATTTCTTAAAAAAATCAAGAACCCTAAAATTAAAAATGCTAAATTAAGCTTGTTTGTTATTGGAGATAATCAAGAGTCAAAGATCTAGAAAATCTAATTTCCTTTCTTAATCACAAACCACAAATAAATCTTGAGAACACAGCGTCCGTAATAATTACATTCCTATTTTCGGCAAAGTTTCCTTATTCCAATCTATTCACAACAAAATATTAATTAAAAATATATATATACCATGCAGATAACAAATTAAATTAACCGTCGCTTCTTGTAACAAGATACTCCCTAGAGATTTAATAACCCTGATTTCCTCTTTTAATATAACCCCATCATAAATCTTTAAAAAGCCATCGTTTCCTTAATTAGTTTCAAATCCCCATCATTCTTTTCCAACAAGTAACTCTTCCTTGCTGAGTACAAACAAGGCTAGTTATATATTTAACACTTCGTATCATCAATCTTCTTTCATTCCAATTTCTTTTCAAGATTTTTTGAAGTTAATATCAGATAAGAATGGGTGTTCTAAGACAACGAACCCACCAGAAGAATACGACAAGCAGCCATGGAATAAAAAGAACCAAGAAACACCCAAAGACAACCATTGCTTCTCTTCCAAAAGATTTGTTGGTTGACATTCTTGCCCATGTCGGATCATCTTCGTTCATTGATGTTTTCAATGCTAAACAATGGTTAGTTTTAGAATCTTGTACACACATATATACATAGTTATATATATAAATTAATTGAATCGGTAATTCATCTGTATTCTGTTTACAAACAATTGAAAACGACCCGTTTTGTTAAATTGATGTCGTTTTTATCATGCATGTATGGTTTTACATATAGTCCTAAATCCTGTTTACGATGAAAGAATCACCTTTACACATCTTCATCCAAATTAATTTGGGTTTACTTGTTTCTTCATCAGTTTCTTTTATGTTTATATATAAGTTGAATTATTCATCTGTGTTATGTTTTTAAACAGGAAAACAACTTGTTTTGTTGATTTGATATCGCTTTTTTTTTACGCATGCATGCATGGTTTTTATAGTCCCAAATATGTTTACGTGAAAGAATTACTACTTCGATTTTTCTTCTAGATTATTCTGATTTAAATCAACTTTTTTTTATTTGTTTATATAGTTGCAAGGACTTTCTGGAAGCAACAGAAGAACATTATGTCATTCAACGCATTTCAATCGACAAGTTTCCGATGATTCCATGGTATCCTCAAAGTGATAATGTTTGTTCATTCCTAATGAATTGCTTCGACAAAGGAAACCCGGAGTCATTATTCAGACGAGGAATTGTATGACTAGTTTTTAACTTTTATCAATTATTGATCATCGTGTGAAAATCTGATTAGTTTAATTGACATATATATTTTTTAATTACAGATAGATTATTTTGAGAAGGCTGAAGTTGAATCTGGAATGGAGTATCTAAAAATGGCATCCAAGAAGGAGCATACTGAGGCCACGTATGTTTATGGGATGATTCTCCTTTCTCAAGGAGATAGAATGAGCGACCAAGGGTTGAAGCTGTTGAATTCCATGAGGAATTCGCTATCAAGATGTTGGAACGTTGATGATTGTAGAAATAAAGTAAGACATATCTTAAATACAATGTGGGTCAATAATACAATTTCAGTTCAAGAAATTAACATGGAATGCCAAAAAAGAGATCATGGTGTTCATCGTCTAAGAAGGTTGGATTTTAACAAAGATGAAGAAGTTGAAAGTTGCGATTCTTGTATGTGGTATCGAGAATTTATCTTATTTTGTAGAATCTTGAATATCTATCTTTGAAAAAGTTTATATGTAATATGACAATTTGAGTATTGATTCTTGATCAAAAAAAAAGAAGATAGTATATTTTGTTTCACAATTTAAATATATAGTTATTGTAGTTCTTTAATTTAATCGAATCATGGCCTCCTCCAAGAGACGTTAAATGAAGCCTCCAAGACATGTAAAAAGAAATTCCGGGGAAATAGGTTTTAAATATGACAGTATATCGATCGCTTGTTTTGGATTGAACGGTTTCGTTCTCTGGTAGTTTGATTAATCACAAATATATATATATTATATATATATATATATATATATATATATATATATATATATATATATATATATATATATATATATATATATATATATATATATAAAATAATAATAATAAAATAAAAGAAAAATATATATATATATATATATATATATATATATATATATATATATATATATATTTGAAAATTAGTACAATACATGGGCGGATCAAATGTAGATTGTAGAGTCTTAGATATCCGAGGATGCTCCTCAAAAAATTTTCAATGGTATAATTTTTTTTCGAAAAGTTGGTTTTAAGTTGCGATGATATCTCGGAAAAAAAATTTGGGCTACCTTAAAAAAATTTAAAATACCCTTTTATTTTGGTATTGGCTCCGCTACTTATAGAAATATTTTCTTGTAAGAATAAAAAATAATTATTTTGTCTAATGGAATAAAACTAAGCATTCATCATATATATATAAATTCATTAAATTGTATTACATAATATTCCGTATAAACTAGAATATAGATTATCGATATAATTTCACTTTTATCTACATAAACTAACATATATCGTAATAAAGTACGTTTTCTTCTTCTATATCGTTATAATTAAAGAACCTTTCTTGCATTACTTAACACTTCGTATAAATCATAATGTATCATCAAGCCCGTCTTGTTTTTATTTATATATTGATATACATTTGTCTCAAAGATATATTATACATAAGTAAAAAAAATCGTTATTTTATATGACTCTAAAATATGTTTATTTTTTCTTTAAATCATTATAAAATATTTTTCCATACATCGGCTGCAATATGATATTCTAGGGATGTTCACACCATACAGACTTAATAAACTAATTTTTCATTCTCCATTGAACCCAATTTACTAAATATCACTAATTTTGAAACTAATTACACCTTTTGTTCTGTTCCATTGATTTTGTTGCCTCAAGTGTCTACAATTGGTACTTCACACGGACAAAAAATAAAATATATTATCATTGTGAATAAAATAATGTATTATCACAAAATAAGAATGGACATAAAATAAGAATATTATTTAAAAATGGAATTGCCGGGGTGTACCCGGGTTTCTTAAAGCAGTTAACGCCCAATCAAGTTAAGATTACTCGTGTAGAATTAGCAAACCAAATGCTAATACTACTGCGAAACATTTGATCCATTTTCATCAATCGAGGGTTTACAGCCAAAAACACCATTGAAGATCAAATCAAGGTCTTCCTCTCTGTCCATTAACGTATTTCACATTTCCTTGTATAATCTGTGAGCGTGATTTATCATTTCTGTGCAATCTAAATTAGTAATGCGTTCCCGTTTTACGAATCTACGTGATTATGTTTTGATCTTCGTTATAATTGTTATGTAATCAGATTTACGATTAGAATCTGGTTCGATTTATTTTTATTTTTTTGTTTGAAAAGGATATCATTTTGGTTTGCGACTTTGCGTATAATCAGGTACTCGCAGGTTGGATGCATTTTTGTTTCATGACTTATGAAGGCATAACTAGCTTTTAAATTCGTAAATCATGTGAATCACATTAATCTAAGAGCAATACCGTAAGTGCAACTGAAAATCTACGATCGTTTTGTTTTTCTACAGTATGGCATACGCCATTTACCAGGTGAACTGTTGTATACAAACTTTTATGGTACTGATTTATTGAAGACATAACATTGGCTTAGAGTCTGGTAGATAAACAATTGATGATAGATGGATTTGGATGCATTCTTGCTCTGTTTTGCTTGATGATTAGTCCTCATTTGGAAATTAATTCAATAACTTCCTTCTCATATTAATAGTGAAATTTCTTAGTGATGTTAATGCTCTTATTTCACGAGAATTAGGTTATCTTCATCTTCATATGAAGTATTCTAGTTATCGACACCTCCATTAAACCATGTGTCAATCAATCATTTATCTTAGATGGATGAATAAGCTGTTCGATTTTGTCTTAATTGTTATTTTAATTGCAGATGGTTTTACAATATCTTATAGATTTATGAAATAACCTTTTTGGCCTAAGCACGTACCTTCATGTGTATTCAGTTGCTTGATTCCCAAATCTACATTGAACTAGTATTATAATTACTGATTTGTTAAAAACTGCAGATAACTCACAATACATGCTACCATCGTGCATGCTTTTAGTTGTCAATGAGTTTAACTCACAGAAGAATACATAAACAGATAAACTTGCCCCTTTCATATGGATCTCCATTAACTTGTTACATTTTCTTTCTTTAGCTCTAATTGATTGGATTTCTGAATATGGCAACTTTTGCCAAGCCCGAAAATGCTTTGAAGCGAGCTGAAGGTGAGCATCTTTTCTTTCGTTAACTATGTACAACATCTTTTTCTTTGAGATACTCTGCTTGACATGAAAAAGTAGCAACATTATTTCATTTATTTGTTTAATATAACATCCTACTCTCATTTCCTTCTTAGAATGCATCAGACTTTCAATATTTATCTTATTAAGACATTGTACTTTGAAAATCTCCCTAGTTATAGCATTATATATTCAACTTTTTTTCTAATTGTAACATTAATGAAAATGCTTAAACCAAATGACATTACAATTCTATAGTAGCGGGAAATGAAAGTAGAATGCTATAAAAACAAACAAATAAAAACATGTTATTTCTTGCATTTAACAATATATAATACAAATGAGAACTTGATTTACCACTAGAGGGAATACTTTTTTCATGTATATAGGGCTAAATTACAAAAATATCAACACACTTCTATTTATTTATTTAGTATATCATCATACTTCCATTTTTTCTGTTACAACATCGTACTTTTAATACTTTTGAAGGCAACATACTTTGAAAAAACTACATATTATAGCATTATATTTCCAAACTTTTTCTTAGTACGACATTGTACATTAAAAAACTCTTCTAATTATAATAAAAGTGAGATTCAATTTATATTTGAATGACATTGCCATAATTGGGTAGATTTTTCAAAATACAATGCTATAATAGAAAGAAATGAAATCATAATGCCACAACAAACATACAAATAAGAGTAAGTTACTATTTCTTGCATTATATATCTAATCCATGTTGGACATAATTGTTCTTATTGACACATGGTTTTGATATGTGGATGCAGAATTGATCAATGTTGGACAAAAGCAAGATGCATTACAAGCACTTCACGGGATTATAACCTCAAAAAGATACAGAGCATGGCAAAAGACACTTGAAAGAATCATGTTCAAGTATGTAGAGCTATGTGTTGACATGAGAAGAGGAAGATTTGCAAAAGATGGTTTGATACAGTATCGTATAATTTGTCAACAAGTCAACATAAGTTCATTGGAGGAAGTGATCAAACATTTCATGCATTTGGCCACTGAAAAAGCTGAACATGCACGTAGTCAAGCACAAGCATTAGAAGAAGCTCTTGATTTTGATGATTTAGAAGCGGATAAAAGGCCTGAAGATTTGATGTTAAGTTATGTAAGTGGAGAAAAAGGGAAAGATAGATCTGATCGTGAGCTTGTTACTCCATGGTTTAAATTGTTGTGGGAGACTTACAGGACTGTGTTGGAAATCTTACGGAATAACTGTAAATTGGAGGCTCTTTATGCGGTTAGGATTTCTTTTTTCTTGGGATTCCTTATCTCATTCAGAGTAAATTACATTTTTGGTCCCTAAGGATAGCTGGTTTTTGCAATTTTGTTCCTAAAATGTTTTCTCATGACTTTTTGCTCGTTACTTGACATTTTTGTAACTTTTTGAGGTCCTTGTTTCAAGTAAATTTTTTGATTGTTTTTTAAGTACTGATTTATTATTCAATATAAGTTTTTCTGAAAAGTTTTCTTTTGCAATATGGCCATTTTACTTGAAACATGAACCAAATTCCTAGGGTACTCTAAAGTCTAAAGTAAGGACCAAAATTGCAACAACAACCAAAAAAAAAAAAAAAAGGGACCAAAATTACAAAAATCAGCTATACTTAGGGATCAAATATGTACTTTACTCTATCATTTATGCTTTGTTAGATATATTACTTGTTTAGTAGCATAGACTCATCTGATTATCACACTTACTGCTGGTACTGTTACATGATCTATGACTGTAGTGTAACATCCCTGTTAGATTGTAAGTCAATAAACAATACAAATACATAGAACACAAGCAAACAAACTAAATATACCTATATATAGTAGAGTTGGTGAAATGACTAAACTGCCCTTATGATCAAATCGAAACATAAGTTTGACTTTTACAATTGAAGATGACTGGAAAACAGTTAAGACTCAAACCTCGGTATACGGTTCATGTGGGAAGTCTTTGAAGTTATAAAATCATAAACTTGCTACCTTAACAAGTAGAATTACAATAAGTGGAAAGTTGACTTTTAAGTTTATAAGCTTTATATTCTCATATGAACCTTTAAAGTCTGTAGAATTTAGCAAACTTTTACTAATCATGCAGCAATATTCATACAGATGACTGCACATCGGGCCTTCCAATTCTGTAAGCAATATAAACGTACAACAGAGTTTAGAAGACTGTGTGAAATCATCAGAAATCATCTCGCAAATCATAATAAATATCGCGACCAAAGGGATCGACCTGATCTCTCTGCTCCAGAAAGTTTACAATTGTATCTTGACACAAGATTTGAGCAATTGAAGGTTGCTACTGAGCTTCAGCTTTGGCAGGTTTGTTCTTTATCTCTAATAAAAGATTTATCTCAAATGTCTGATGAAAGACATCTAATTTACACAACATTGTTTTACTCACCTTGACATGTCAGGAAGCTTTCCGTTCTGTTGAAGACATATATGGACTAATGTGTATAGTCAAGAAAACTCCAAAGGCATCATTTTTAGTTATCTATTACGCCAAATTAACCAGAATCTTTTGGATTTCCTCAAGTCATATCTATCACGCCTTTTCATGGCTGAAGCTATTTACACTTCAAAAGAGTTTCAACAAGAACTTAACCCAGAAAGACTTGCAGTTAATAGCTTCATCAGTTGTTCTTGCTGCACTCTCGGTTCCTCCTTATGATCGCTCACATGGTGCATCTCATATGGAACTCGAAAACCAAAAAGAAAGGAATCTCAGGGTTGCTAATCTTATAGGATTCATTGTTGATCCAAGATCAGAGACCAGAGAAGTGGTAACTTTAATGATCGGGTTAATTGTCCCCATGTTTTTTTTTTCTTCGGGTTAATCATAAAAATGATCAAAAATGGGAAGTTCATATCACAAGACGACTGCATCATCAACATTTATCACAAAATGAACATCTATTTTGTGAAATAATGTTCGCTAATTCCCAAAATTACTTTCTCTAACACCGAAGAATCAATTTCTTGAAAAAAGTATTTTGCGATGTTTTTTCTGCCGATTAAGTGGTCATTTTGTGATAAGTAATAAAAACGTGGTCATTTTGTCATCTAATCCACCCATTTTGGTCATTTTGTGGTTAAATTTATTTTACCATATATAGTTTTTCAATTGCTTAATCTTTTATTGTTACTTTCCTCAGCTTTCACGTTCGTCACTCCTCTCAAAATTGGTAAGATCAAATGAAAATATACCATAAAAGAGAAATATATAAATATTTTTAGATCTATAAAGTAAGGAATGGGAATGTGTATAATGTTTACAGGTATCGAAGAGTGTAATGTCATGTGTAACACAGGAAGTAAGGGATTTGTACCATATTTTGGAGCATGAGTTCTCCCCTTTGGATCTTGCATTAAAAGTACAACCCTTGCTCATGAAAATATCGAAACTTGGGGGTAAACTATCTTCAGCTTCTTCAGTCCCAGAAATTCAGTTATCTGAATATATCCCTTCACTGGAAAAACTTGCCACCCTCAGATTGCTACAACAGGTGTATGATCATTACATTCAGCTTAGAATCTTTAGTGTTTAGTCTCTTTACGCCCTCGTTTGTTTGCTGTTAATATTCACAGAAAAATAAGTAATCAAAAAATATAAATTCTTAAATTTGTGTTATTAGTTTAACGAATATTTATAAAGTAGTTGTTGATGTGGGTTGCAAAAGCTGATATGGAATAACTGAGAGTGACATTGCAATGGTGGGGATTGTTCATCTCATCTCATTGGGCTAATTCATCTTCTTCTCCAGTCCCCTTCACTTGTATTAATTATTTTGACAAAATGAAAAGCTTTTTTTTTTATATATATGATTTATGGTTTTCTAGGTATCCAGGGTGTATCAGGTAATGAAGATAGAAACTCTAACAGGGATGATACCCTTTTTCGACTTCTCTGTTGTGGAGAAAATTTCGGTGGATGCTGTAAAACACAGTTTTATATCAATGAAAGTTGATCATAGGAAAGGTGTTGTTCTCTTTGGGAGTCAGGTGCTAATTAATGAAAATCTCTATCCTATTTATTATATATTTTTTGTTTTTTGTAGTATATAATAATTGTGATTTGTGATTTTTAAATCATTATGATCTTGTTTAGGGTCTTGAATCTGAAGGGATACATGATCATCTGAGTGTTTTTGCGGAATCCCTAACAAAGGCAAGATCAATGGTTATTCCCCCCATGATGAAAGCTTTGAAACATGGGGAGACATTAACCAGTTTGACAGAGACTGTGGATAAGGAACATAAAAGACTTCTTGCTCGCAAGTCTATAATTGAGAAACGTAAAGAAGAACAAGAAAGACAACTTCTAGAGATGGTATTTTCACTTATACTAACTAGTTTAAACAAATTATACCTTAGCTAAGGTAAAGTTCTTCAAAGAATAGGTTGGATAAGGAATACAATGGTTCATTCCACTGGATTCGTGTTGGAATTGTTTCGCCAGATGGAATGGATCATTTTTAAAGGAGTCTGAATCCATCAGTTTTGTTCGAGCATTTTTTTTCATTCAACGAAAATTGTAAGATGACCCATTTTATTTATAACGTTTTTATAGAATAATGACTAAAATGGGTGGTGTTATATGATCAAATGACTGCCTTTTGAACATTTATCACAAAATAACAACCTGCTTTTTACGAAATCTTTTTTGTTTTATGAATAAAAAACCTTAGAAAATTTTTGGAAATGTATTTTCTTTGCTTGTGAAATTATAGTGGGGACCACTAATAAATAAAATTTGAAAGAGTTGGTTTTGCCAAATATTTTGTGGTTGTTTTGTAATAAATGTTCAAAGATCACTCATTTGGTTTTTAGTGATTACCACAAATTTTAATGACATATTATCATTTAGGAATTTCATGATTTTAATTAAA